ATAAGTGTTAGTCAACTTTCTTAATAGCTAGCATAAATAATACTTTCTAAATTAATTATATCAAAATCACAACATGTCGTAAGTTTTCTCTACACAATTGGGGGATAGAGAAATAAAAATTTTGATGCAAATACTACATGGATTCACTAGAGAGAAAGTGATAAGTGTCCAAATTGATACAATCTTACTACTTTGCTATGAACTTATTATAAATGTTAGTCAACTTTCTTAATAGCTAGTTGGGGGATTATATTTTGCGGGTTAACCCACGGTCCAACCGCATCCATCAGCCATCCATCCAACCCGACCCACATAAGAATGTGGGTGGATTGCGGTTCACAATTATTCCAACCCACTAGTAAGTAGATGAGTCAATTTTTGTGTTGTGTAATATCCATTAATTGGATATTGTAATGCAAATTATTGTTAATATCCATTATATATTGGGATGAAAACTATAAATTATTAATTATATCAAAATCACAACATGCCTAAGTTTTCTCAACACAATTGGGGGATAGAGAAATACAAATTTTGATTCAAATACTACATGGATTCACTAGAGAGAAAGTGATAAGTATCTAAATTGATACAATCTTACTACTTTGCTATCAACTTATTATAAATGTTAGTCAACTTTCTTAATAGCTAGAATAAATAATACTTTCTAAATTAATTATATCAAAGTCACAACATGCGTAAGTTTTCTCTACACAATTGGGGGATAGAGAAATAAAAATTTTGATGCAAATACTACATGGATTCACTATAGAGAAAGTGATAAGTGTCTAAATTGATACAATCTTACTACTTTGCTATGAACTTATTATAAATGTTAGTCAACTTTCTTAATAGCTAGTTGAGGAATTATTTTTTGCGGGTTAACCCACGACCCAACCTCATCCATCCGCCATCCATCCAACCCGACCCACATAAGAATGTGAGTGGGACAGGTTACGGTGGTTACTATTTTATAGTAATCACCGTGGTTACTAAGGGCAAATTGGGTATAACAAAAAATTTATTAATGATCTTTTTTTAATAAATTACATTTTAGGAAATTACATAAATATATTAAATACAATTTTCTCTCTCTCACTTCCACAATTTTTCAGCCTGATCTCTCTTCCTTCTTTTTCTCAATCTTTCCTTGATTTCGTTGCTGCAACAACAAAACAATAAATCAATACCAATCCATTAAAAAATACTACCATTGTACAAAACATCAATATCATTCAAGAAATAAAAACACTACCATTTCAGAAAACATATACCATTGCAGATTTAATCACTACCAATGCGACATAAAAAACACTACCATTTCAGAAAACATCAATACCATTGCAGATTTAATCACTACCATTGCAGATTTAATCACAACCAATGCAGATTTAATCACTACCAATGCGACAAAATCAATACCAATGCGACAAAAATAATACCAATGCGACAAAAACAATACCAATACGATCATAACACTACCACTATGGGGAAAAATGACTACCATTTAAAAAAATCACTACAGAAAAAAATGACTACCATTGAGGTAAGCCTTCACCTCCGGTATACCAGAACCGGCGGCAGCCAAAGCTATGATGAGGGTTGCAAACAGAGGACGTCGGCGGTTGATTGAGGTAAGCCAACAGCAGTCAAAGCCCAAAAAAAAATTGGGCAGAAACGAAGAGAGGGAGAGAATCCAGAGTTCAATAGAAAAAGGGGAGAAGAAAGAGGGACCTGGACTGGATGCTTCGCTTCCTGCGTTCGGCCTCAGCGCGCTTGGCGAGATCGGCGACGCACCGGAACCGCCGGCGGGGGTTCTTGACGATGCTGACAGCTCTCCGCCATCGCATCAACGCCTCCTCCGACGGATTCTTGTGGTGCAGATCGAACTCCTTCTTCAAATCGAACTCCTTCTTCAGGCAGCGAGAGCGGGGCCAACGAGGCGGAGGTTGATCGAGAGCGGGAGCGACAGGGAGAGGAGGGAGGAGACGACGGCTAGGTATTAGGGTTTGAGTAAAATATATACATTAATCAGGTGTGGTATGTTTTTTATTTCCTAAATTACCCTTAGCTAATCTTAATCATTAATTTAAAATTATAATAAAATAAAGATAATGAATGGTATAGATGTTGGTAGCCACCGTGATTACTCAAAATTGAGTAACCACTCTAACCTATGCCGAATGTGAGTGGATTGTGGTTTACAATTATTTCAACCCACTAATAAGTAGATGAGTCAATTTGAAACGAAAACCCACCCAACCCGCACATTGCCGACCCCTATCATCAACAGCTGTCTGCTAAACCGAACAAGATTGCAATTATTGCGACTCTCCCGTATGTTTGCCTCATCTCCTCTTCTGCCATGGCCCATGGATAATACGGCAATTCCTCCTCTACTCGTATTTAATTTTATTTAATGAGATCCCCTTCCATTCATCCATCCCTTGGCTTGCAGCTTAAGCTGTTCGCCACATCCTCGTTATAAAGAAATAAAGTCCACATCAATAAAAGGCAATGATCAATCTACTTTGTATCATAGAAAAGGTAGTTTGTAATGATATAAATAAATAAATAAATAACTGTTTTTTTATGAGGATGACAATAATAAATAACGCAATGTTATTGAGCTCTATTTTTTTTACATGTTATTAAGCTCTCAATTGTATATTTGTGTTGATAGTATAGGGTGAAAGTGCATGCCAGTTCATTGGTATGATGGCTTTAGAACATTTTTTTTTTTTGACAATAAGGTTCAACTTTTATTCCATCACCAATACGAAGACAGAGGTTACAAACTTTAAAGGAAATCAGAAATTAGATCAAGAACACAAATCCAGTCATCTGGGAGAGAAGATCTAGCAAGTGATCGCGCAACCCAATCTGCTCTAACATTAAATTTACGCGCAACCGCCTTGACCTTGATTTGAGGGTTTGCTCTCAGGATTGAAACCATGGTTCCAATCCAGGCTGCTCCTCGCCATGGCCAACTTCTAGAATCTTGATTAAGAGCTTTCACTAACGTCTGGCAGTCAGACTGGACAACACATTCAGTGCCATATTCTTGAGCTAATTTGAGACCTTCCAAAAGAGCTTTTGTTTCGGCTTCGAACGGGGTGGAACAAAGGAGGGTGTCAGCTCGCCCGTCACACACTTGTCCATGATGGTTAATGACAACAACACCATATGGGCTGTGAGTCGTTTAAGAACGACCCATCACAGTGAATCACAAAATTATGATTGCTTGGCGGTGGAGAAGTGAGCGAGTGGGCTCCCCTGAGCTGAGGAGAAGGAGAGCAAAGGAGGGGCATCCTCGGACAGGTCGTCCATTCAGTAAGATCCTTGTATGTTCTCATAATCACATTCGGATGCCAAGGGATCCGATTCTTGAACACACACTCATTTCTTGCCTTCCAAATATTCCAGCAGAGGAAGATAACATGGGACATGGCTCTTGCGTGGATAACATCCTTTAAAGAGTACAACCAGTCAAGGAAGGCAGTAGACTGGGCCGGAATTGGGAGGGTTGGGAAGATAGTTGTCCAAGATTCTCTTGCATGGTCACACAAGAAAAGGCAGTGGACGAGAGACTCAATGGGGCATTGGCATACTTGACATATCGAGTTAGGAGCGCATTTCCTTTGAAAGAGTTTCTCTTTTGTTGCAAGCCCGTTCTTAGCGCACCTCCAAACAAAGAACTTAAGTTTTGGAGGGATATCCATGTTCCACATCCATTTCCACTTTTCCATATTGGCAATCGTTTGGGGTTCCGTTGAGGCTAAGTGTACCGCATGGTATGCTGTTTTAACAGTGAAGACACCATTCTCATTCTGGGCGTGGAAATTGCTTTAGAACATATCAATACTTATTTCACAACATTTATTAGTGAAACGATAATGATGACCACTTATTAGGTCGATTCTATGTTTCCGTGTATTCAGTGAAAAACCTCCAACGTAATATACTAGGAGCTTACTCAATGAATATGAGAAGATGTACGATCACTTGCGCGGAGCTATGGGGCGCCCTACAGAGACTTCAGGTGGCATGAGACAGTGGACACAAGAAAGTCGAACTCCAGATCGACTCGACTACAGCTACTCGCCTGCTCTCCCCTGAGAGCTCCTGAGCAGGGATTGGAAAGTGCGGATCATACATATCTACAAAGTACAAATAGGCCAATTTTCTAGCTGATTGTTTAGCACACAAGGGTCGCCTTTTAGATCCTTACACTTTATGTACTAGTTTTAGTGATTCAGACATTAATCACTAGCTACTGTAGGACTCGATTGACGGATTTGGAATCGATTCGATTTAGTAATATGAGGCAGTGGTGCTTGCACCCGTCGGTTCGGAAATCGTAGAGCGGTGAACTGACTAGTACATTGACAATCCAATTCCAAGATGCGAGGGTTCCATGACTGCTGCTTAGCTTCTCGGATTCCATCACCATGAGTCCATGACCTGATCCTACCATAGGATTCCTTACTCTCTCTCTCTCTCTCTCTCTCTCTCTCTCTCTCTCTCTCTCTCTCTCTCTCTCTCTCTCTATTAGATAGAAGCTGTAATATGCCTTTTAATTCAATCCCCATTCCCCAGTTTTTCTTGGGCGAAATAATATAATCCTGATTGTAAATATATTGCGAAAACAAACAAGCTTAACATTTTGAGTAAATTCAGTGTCAGTCAGTTCCCCTAAAATTGATATTTCCCCTGCAAACAAAACTCTCTGTCTCTGCTATAACAAAACAAATACAAAAATTGAAAAAAGAAGAATTCAGAGAACCCACAACTGCTAAAAACGGGAAAATCGGGGAGTTTTAAATAAAAAAAATAGTCAACCAGCCAATCAAATAAAACCGTAGTAATATTATGTAAAAATAATAAAACAAAAAGAGGTCAAATTTCCAGGCTGCCCCACATCCCTTCTTTTCTCTTTCGCCCACTGCCCCACTCCACGCCTTTCTTTCTTCCCATTCTCCCGTTCCAGTACAGATCCCCCAATTTCCCCACTCACTCATGAAACTCGCCGCCTCCGCCTCCGCCTCCGCCTAGCTCCCCACCCGATAGAGAAAAATCATGCCATCTCGCTCGATCCCCTCGCCGGAGCAAACCATTCATCTCGACAGTAAGGAAACCACTTCCTCCGTCCTCCCTCCCTCGCCATCTCCCCTCTCCCACCACCACCACCACCACCACCACCGACTCTCTCCCCGCCAACTCCTCCCCCCGCTCGGCGCCGCCACCGTGGCGTTCTCCTTCCTCCTCATCTTCGCCGCCTGCTACCGCAAGCTTACCCAGAAGCGGACCGTGCCCACCGACTCCAAGCCCCCTCACCGCTTCCCCCACTCCACGCTCCGCCGCGCCACCAACAACTTCTCCCCTGCGCTCCGCCTCGGCCAGGGCGGTTTCGGGTCAGTCTTCCGGGCCGCCCTGCCCGATGGGCACCTCGTCGCGGTGAAAGTGATGGACTCCGGGTCGCTTCAGGGGGAGAGGGAGTTTCAGAACGAGCTCTTCTTCGCCTCCAAGCTCGACTCGCCTTACGCTGTGACCGCCCTAGGGTTCTCCGCCGACAAGAAGCGGAAGACGATGCTGCTGATCTACGAGCTAATGCCCAACGGGAATTTGCAGGACGCGCTGCTCCATCGGAAGTGCCCCGAGCTGTTTGAGTGGAAGAAGAGGTTCAGCGTCGCCGTGGATGTCGCTAGGGGGTTGGAGTATCTTCACTCGTTGGATCCGCCGGTGATTCACGGAGATGTGAAGCCTAGCAATGTTCTGCTGGACCAGTTCTTCTCGGCGAAGATTGCGGATTTCGGTTTGGCTTGGACGAAGATGGAGGAAGGGAATCAGGGAAATTCGGCTGAGAATCAGGTCGTCCCAGAAAAGAGGAACGGCGAATTGGAGATGAAGAAGGTCGAATTGGAGAGCAGTAACGGCGCGGTGGTGGCAGCGACGGAAGATTGTGGATCTGTGATGGAAACCGAGAGCGTGACTACCGCAGGGTTTGAGGAATTTAGTTTGGGGATCGACCAGTCGCCGGAGAGCGTTTTCAGGGGTCCGGTCTCCCTGACGTCGCCAGAGACAGCGGAGGCCGTCAGCCCAGCGACGGTCGGGGTACCCATCTCCCCGCCAGAGGTAATTGTGAATATTGATAAAGTTAGTGTAGCTAGCGGGAAAGAAGGGGACTGTAAAAAGAGTGGGAAAGCAGCAAAGAGTGGTAAAGATTGGTGGTGGAAACAGGACAATGGCCCGGCCGCGGTAGCGGCAGCGAACGTGCCGGTGAAAGACTATGTAATGCAGTGGATTGGAACAGAGATCAAAAGGGAAAGACCCAGCAGCGAATGGATTTCAGCTCCATCCACCAGCAAGCAACCGATTACCAAAATCAGCAAGAAGAAGGAACGCAGGCGATTAGATTGGTGGGTATCACTCGACGAGGAGAAGGAAAAGAAGATTCTTAAAAAGGAAAGGAAAAGGGCGCCAAGGGAATGGTGGAAAGAAGAGTACTGCGAAGAGCTGGAGAAGAAGAAGAAGAAGCAGAAGAAGAAGGAACGAGAAATGGGCATTGTACAGGGCAACTCCGCTGAAGATTGGTGGCCTGCAGGGGACGAAGAATCATACGCCGGAGGAAAGAGGAGGAAAAAGAACAACAGAAGCAGAGGCAGCCATGATTGGTTCAGCGGCGAGCTCTTCAGAGGCCGATTTAACAGCCACGACTCGCTCAGCGGAGACATAGCAATCCCCAAGAGCGGCGGAGTCAGCAGCACGCCAAGCATGCGAGGAACAGTCTGTTACGTGGCGCCAGAGTACGGCGGAGGCGGGGATCTGTCTGAGAAATCCGATGTCTACAGCTTTGGAGTTCTGCTCTTGGTTGTGATGGCAGGAAGGCGGCCCCTTCAGGTGACGAATTCGCCAATGTCGGAGTTCCAGCGAGCTAACCTGATACATTGGGCTCGAAACCTGGCTAGATCCGGGAAGCTGATCGATCTGGTGGATGGATCGATACGAGGTTTGGATCGCGAGCAAGCCACATTATGCGTCACGGTGGCTCTGCTCTGCTTGCAGAAGTCTCCGGCTGCTCGGCCGTCGATGAAGGAGGTTGTTGGGATGTTGAGCGGTGGTGTTGAGGTTCCTGCCTTGCCTATCGAGTTCTCGCCGTCGCCTCCTTCAAGGTTTCCATTCAAGTCCAAACAGAGGAAGAAGGGGAGCTTAAACAGTGATAAGCCATTGTAGATTATTGTTTTTGTTTGTTTTCTTCTTTCCACTCTTTGATTTCAGTGTATAGAAAAAGAAAGATCCTTTTTGACTTTACAATGAACCATTGAGCGTTATGATGAATGAAACAGAGGGAAAGGGGAAATGGAACTGCGGAATGATGGTGCCTGTGGGGAAAGGGAGAGAAGGGGTCGTGAAGAGAAATGATTGATGAAAAGCTGGAAAGGGAGAGAAGGGGTCGTGAAGAGAAATGATTGATGAAAAGCTTGCGGTAGTGATGCACAGAATGTTGAGCAAATGATGGGGGTTTCTCTTTTGGGACATGGGAGGCTCCATTGATTATCATTGTTGGATTTTAGAAGATTCGATTAGGATGGAGTGGCTTCCTTTTCTCTGTTGCAGGGTGATCCTTTTGGATTACTGGGTAGGGCGCCAAACTTAGCACTCTTGCGCCAAATTGCCAACACTTTGATCTTTGGATTAAGCTCGGGCTTTGGTTGGAGTGGGCACGCCTGTGATCTGTTGTCTCCATCCATTTGCCTGGCAGCCGAACTGTCAACTTCTCGAACTTGGGTTCGTACTTCTGGCTCACCGTCCTCGGCGTTGATGGGTACATGAGACGGCGATTGAGGCTTGGCATGATCATCCGACGAACTGCTGGGAAATGACTGTCCAAATTCATCCCCTTCCTACCTAAGCTACGAAGTGGGTGAAGATGAAAAGTTGATTTTGTCCTGTTATTTGTTTCAGAAGCCAGTTCAGTGAAATGTCTTCTTCCGTTGATGATAATCGGGTTTGCACTGAATACAACTGCGAGAAAACCAATTTACACGTTTTTTTTTATTATTATTTTATATTAAAAATTTAAAACTTTTCCCTTTTATGGAACGAGAACACGATTCCTCCCTGTGAAAGATAACCGTGGATTCCGGCATGAATTAACAAGGAGCGTGGAAGATGATGACGATGGAGCTCCAGTTGATCACGAGATCAACAAAGTAGTTGCAGCCAGCTAGCCTTGGTGTGGAAGAAAGTACTCTGATGAAATACGAAGAACAGGGTCAGCAAAAGGGAAAGAAAAACGATGACGCAGTAAGGCAGAGAATGAAGGCAACGCACCAATTTGTTTTGCTTAGCATTGTAGGAGTTTTTACTGTACAGACTTTACATGTGTATAGAGCCTATTGGTAGATATCTTAGTGTAAAAAGTAATGGCTAGGTAGATCCGCTTTTTCATTGTTTATGCTCTGTAAACTGTATATATTCTCTGCTCAATGGAAAGCTCAGTATGAGCAATTTCTCCAAAACTTCTTTCTTTTGGAAATCTTCTTATGGTATCAGAGCGCTGCTCATCGCGCTAAGATCTGTTTTTCATCCTCTTTCGTTTTTCTTTTCATTTCTCGTTTCATCTTTGAGCTCTGGTTGCATCAACAATGGCGGATGGAACCAGCTCAGCCACTTCAGAACATAAATCTGAATCCTCTAACAAATCCAAGGCGATAATGACCTCATATGAGAATCCTTATCTCAACTATTACTATCTCCCACCTCAGGATGGTGCTTTACACACCATCATCTCCATCAAGCTCGTCGATGGCAACTATCACACCTGGAGTGAAGTTATGTTGCTGGCTCCGGAGACAAACCCCCCCCCCCCCCCCAATTCATTGACGATCATATCCCAGTTCCTCAGGTAACAGATCCTCACTATCAATCCCGAGCTCGTTGCAATGGCACTATTCGTTGCTGGATTTACAACTCTTTGTCAAATGATATAGCAAATAGTGTCAAGAGGCTAGGGTTAGCAAAGGATGTCTGGGATAACTTGAAAACCCAATTTAGTCAAGAAGACAACATCAGGGTTTATGATCTCAAGGGTCAATTGGCGAAATGTGTTGAGGGTGATCAGTCCGTGAGTCAATACTTCACAGATATTGCAATGCTATGGGAAGAGTAGAGACATGAGGGTGGCCTAATCCTGGACCATATGAAACACTGAAGAGATATGAGGAGAATGACTTCGTCATCAAGTTCCTTCAAGGACTAAACCCCGTATACCAGTCAGCAAGGACACATGTCTTGATGATGCCCATTCTGCCTCATATTGATATTGTTTTCAAGCAGATCTTACAGCTTGAACACCAGTTGAAGATCATGAACAAAAGTTCACGTGTTGAAACTCTTGCCCTTGCAGCTGGTGCTTCCAGTGGCAATCAGTATGGGGGTAAAGGATAAGAGGAACAAGATGGGAAGAAGGTTTGTTCCTACTGCAAGAAAGAGGGACATCTGATCAAGGATTTCTTCAAGTTAAAGAACAAGAAGGCAAGGGAGGCTTCAGAAGGTGCTTTTGCTGGTTCAATAGAAAGTTCTCTTGGAATGTAGAACTCTTCTATTTCTAATGACAGCAAAGGACAGATTGGGTTGAAGAACATTTTCCCACAGGATCAGATGGAAAGGCTCAAGCTACTGGTATTTAAGTCACCCTCTCCATCACCATCACCTCCAAGTTCTCCATCTGTGCACACTGCAAATGCAGTTACCAGAGCTGTGTCTTCACATAGACCACCTACCTCTCCCTATTTGCCTTTAAGTTCAGGTACTACTGTGTTTTCATCCTTGATAGCTTCTTCTGGAGAACCCTTATGGGTATTAGATACTAGTGCTACAGATCATATCATCTGTAGTTCCAAGTAGTATAGCAAATAGAGAACAGTATATGAAGTTTTGGTTACTTTACCAACTGGTGAAAAGGTAAAGGCCACACATAGGCATTGTTCAACTTCCTGGTGGCTTGTTTCTTTCACAAGTCCTTTTTGTTCCAATATTTAGCTGTAACTTAGTCTCTGTCAGTAAGTTAGCCAAACAAAACCCTGTCTCACTTACCTTTCAATCCTCTTACTGTGTCCTTCAGAACCTTATCACACAGAATATGACTGGTTTAGCCCAAGTGGATTGAGGACTCTACCTTTTCACCAAGACACCAAGTTCCAACTCCCCTGTCCAGTGTCTTGCAGCCACCACTCACAATTTCCAGTCACAACCTTTTGATCTCTAGCATGCCAGATTAGGCCACCCTCATGTCTCTAGACTTCAAGCTATTAGTAAATAATTCCCTGGTGTAATAGCTTCTAAACATATTCACTGTGATGTGTGTCACTTAGCCAAATAGAAAAAGCTTTCATTTCCTTCCAGTACCTCTTATCAATCTTGTTCTTTTTGGTTTGATTCATGTTGACATTTGGGGGCCATTGTATACAGTTTCATACAATGGTTTCAGTTATTTTTAACTATTGTTGATGATCACTCTAGATGTGTGTGGACCTTCCTTATGAAACATGAGGATGAGGCTAGACCTCTCTTGCAAACCTTTTGTTCTATGGTTAAAAACCAGTTTGGTAAATCTGTGCAAATCATTCACATGAATGAATTCTATTAGACGCATGGAATCATTCATTAAATGATCAACACCTCCTGAATGTGGCTAGGTGATGACTCGATATTTGCACATGTTTTCCCCTTTGTTTCTTGACTGTTTGAGCTTTAATTATTGCGTCTTTGGCCTATTTTACGCTAGGTTGTGTTCCTTTGTCACATTTCAGGTCCTAGCACATAAAGTGAAGCATAGGCGCAAGTTTCAAGTCAATCAGAGATTAATTGGCGATTAGGGAGAAGAAACTCGGGCATGACCTGAAGAAGAATGGATTTCTACCTCACTTTATGGACAAAAAATCATGCAAGCTTGTCATGAAAAGAAAGAGGACGAGACTACGAGCGTCCGGGATCAAACTGCGACTGATTCGGAGTCCGGACGAGGGAGAAACGAAGCATTGAATATAGGGGAACAGGTTCGGCAGTAAAAACACGGGTTGGCATAAAGAAAAACACGGGCGTTTCCATATTTAGGCACGACTGTGTTTTGGCCGACGAGGGCTGCTGGGGGCAAAACACGGGCGGGCAAAAGTAAAACACGGCCTTGTCCTCGACCGTGTTTTGCCCAGAATCGGGTTTTTGAGGCAGATTGAAGCCAAAGGAAAGGGAGAGCTGGGTTTTGGATCCCAAACACCGAAGGGACGCACCAAAGAGAGAGAGGGCGATTTGAGGGCATTCTAAGAGTGTAATTGGAGGATTTCTTCGCCTTCGAAGCTCGAGGAACAAGCCCGGACTTGAAGACTGATCATCTGAATATTCTTACTGCAGTCTCTCTCTCTCCATGGAGTAACTTCCCTTCACTTAGGTTTTGAGGAACCCTAGCTATGTTTGTTTGATTGGATGATTGTATGAGTACTCTTACTTGATAATCTTGAGTTCATATTCAATCTATGCATGTTTTCATGATTCAATTCTGCTTTAGTCGAGATTATTGATTCTGCTTTGATCCTATGAGAGCGAATACATGATTAGGTCAATAGAGCACCATAGATTGATAGTAGTGGATCGATTGCTTTAGTCGAGGGTTGATTCACTGCTTTGTATCGATTGAGAACCTCTTTCGTTAGAGTGCGTCTAGTTCAGATAGCCTTAATCGGTTGTTCTAGAGAAGGATACGTCCCTCTAGGCAATTGACTCAAGAGGGCCTTGTTCCTTTAGTCGAGACTCAAGGTCTAGTCAAGAATTCTCCGCATTGTGAATGAAAGTGAAACAAGTTAGAAATCATCAATCATTAATCTGGCTAGTGGCTAGGGGGATCATACGTAAGTGAGTTCCCAGCTTGTAATTAGATTAACTTTAACTGTATTTTGTTAGAGTAGTTTTAGTTCTTCCATCTTAATCTGGTTTGCTAGATAATGAACTGAAGCTGAGTAATAGTAACTCTAGAGACCCGTGGATTCGATATTTATTACTTGAGCCACTATACTGCAGTCCCTTTCATTGGTTACACTTGGCCATTGTTAGGTGTTGTGTAATAGCGAGTCAAGTTTTTGGCGCCGTTGCCGGGGACTTTCTAGAGTATTAGGAAAGGCAGAAGTTTGTTACTTTAGCCTTTTTCTTTTCTTTCCCACCCTTGTTTTTCACTTGGGTGTTTTTGTTTTTGTTGTTGCAGATCTAAATCATGGATCCTCGTGGCTTCTCCAACCATTGGGTGTATCCACCACCATCCGAGTGGTATTACCCCGAGACTCCCTGGAGCAATCAAGAACAACCTCGTTATCAAGAAGAATTTCTCCCACAACCAGAAGAGCCATCGTAACTGGAGTTACCCATGGCGGCCTTCACGGGCCATCCTGCAGAGCCATGCTACACTCCACAACCAGATCCAAATTATGAGCTGAGGCTTCTCATGGAGCAGTTTGCTCGAGACAGTGAGAGATCATGGGCTAGGATGGATCTTTGCACCTAGGCCTTTCGTGAAACAGAGGAGATCCTCCTGAGCCTTAAGAAGAGCGTCGATGATCTTGTGCGATCTTGTGCACAACCTGCTCCAGGTCACCCTTCTGCTACCATATTAGAAGAGGAGGAGGAAGAAGAAGGCTACAAGGACATTATGGAGCACACTGAAGTTTTCATGGAGAGCTCCGGTGATGATCATGATCAGGAATGTCCTGTCGTGGCCGAGCACACCTTCCCACATCCCAAACTGAGCTTTGAAGAGGCGGGCATGAGTGAGGAGATGCAAGAAGATCTCATGAAAGAAATTGCTTGGCAACTTTCTCTCCAATCCGTGCTAGAAGAAGAAGAGCAAGAAAGGGTGCAGAAAGAAGTTTTGGAGGATGACAAAAGTGAAGCAAAATGAGTTCTTGATCATTTCCCAGGGGTGATAGCACATGAAGAAGAAAGGGAGGTTGAAGAAGCAATTGGCGTCCAGGCTGAGGATGGAGTTAAGGT